GAATCACAACCTCTTGTTTATGTCTATGATTGTAGGTTTACAACCTACCAGGACGCGCGCCGATCATGGACTCGTCGACGGTCCTAATATATGGAATAAATATTTTACGAGTATAGTCCCACTTTCTTCAAACTTTTCACATCGCTGTATGGCCAGGACACGGATAATCGGTGAGATTTTGGGCAAATTTTAAGCAGCCGAACTCAAGATATCCCTTGAAAACCCGAAAACCCTATCCAAAGGGGCAATTTTGGGGGTCACAAAGGCGCATATCTCGAGACTCAAAAGTCCCACTTTCTTCAAACTTTTCACATCGCTGTATGGCCAGGACACGGATAATCGGTGAGATTTTGGGCAAATTTTAAGCAGCCGAACTTGAGATATCCCTTGAAAACCCGAAAAACCCTATCCCAGGCCAGTATCGCAGGCCCATATCTCGAGACTTAAAGATCACACTTTCTTCAAACTTTTCACGCAGTTGTATGGCTAGGAAACGGATAATCGGTGAGATTTTGGGCAAAGTTTAAGCAGCCGAACTCGAGATATCCCTTGAAAACCCGAAAACCCTATCCAAAGGGGCAATTTTGGGGGTCACAAAGGCGCATATCTCGAGACTCAAAAGTCCCACTTTCTTCAAACTTTTCACATCGCTGTATGGCCAGGACACAGATAATCGGTGAGATTTTGGGCAAATTTTAAGCAGCCGAACTTGAGATATCCCTTGAAAACCCGAAAAACCCTATCCCAGGCCAGTATCGCAGGCCCATATCTCGAGACTTAAACTTAAAGATCACACTTTCTTCAAACATTTTACGCAGTTGTATGGCCACTGGCCAGGAGACGGATAATTGGTGAAATTTTCGGCCAATTTTAAGCAGCCGAAATCAAGATATTCTTGCAAACACAGGAAACCTTATCCAAAAGATCACTGCAACTAAAACGCTCAGAAAAGCTCAATCAGATCTCAAGGCCATTTTATCTGAACGCGCCCGCGGTGCGCGAATTCGATTACACATCATACTTAAAATAGATATCTGGACAAATAATCATGTCGAAATATAGATTTAGCGGGAGGACGGGAGGGAGGGTAGGAGACCCCAGTTTGATATAGAGCCCTGTAGATGGATGATGATTAATCACTCTTGACTCTACACTCGACTGTCACGTGACTTTTTCAACCCGTTCTCTAGCTGGCCCTGAACGACTATTCGAAACCCTAACCCTCTAATCTGATCCCAACTCTAACCCTAACCCAATCCTTAACAAAAGCATATGCTGAAATTCTAACCCTAACGAGAAATTAGACTAACTTGCTTATAGTTATACGGTCATATCACGTGATCGAGACAGTTTTTCGCCAATATCTCGTCAGGGGAGCATTTTAACCGATTTTTTAATGTCATGGGGGTGATTCGGAATCAGCGTTTGAAAATACATCGATTGAAGTTGGTTTCAACTGTCGGGGCCCCTTTTAGAACAATCTCGAAAATCGACTGTAGAGTGATTTAGCACGCTTTCGCTCCCCTTAGATAGGGCCCTGAAACTTTCAGTGAAAGCAATGGATTGGAGTGTAATATATTATATAAATGTGATAAAATGGTTAACATTATTCAAGGTCTCATGTCACATGTCTCTACGATTTTATCATCAAGTGATCAACATGTCTCCGCGCCTCCATTTTGAGGCGCGGTCGCGTCCATTGCTCATGGGGATTCGTGTGAACCGTCAGACTGGGGTAGCAAGTGCATATTAGTGGGGTAGAAACACTTATTATTGCTCCCAAGTAGTTACTAGTTACATTAGTGATTTTGACACAATTGATATACACTTACAGCATTACAGCTGTTTGATGGGAAATATCAAAATAAATGAGAATAACAAAGAGGAAATTTTAAAACAATCTGCACAAAACAGTCCAACTATGTATATTATTCAAAATTGAACTGAATACTGTAATTTCAATGGAAGTTCCTTAAACCTTTCTTAGAGGTGAACAAAAATTTAGACCTATGGTCCTCAACCACTTGAACAAGTTTTTTAAAGATGATTCAGTTCTAGTGATCCTTGTATTATAATTGGTCATCAGGGTGATAGCTGATCGTTCTGCTGAATCGTTCATCGACGATATGTTGTTTAACGCCGATTTTACTTTATGATAGTTGTTGGAAGAGATCGGTAATTCGTCCAACTACTACAACTATCATGATAATTACGGCCATATAGTTGTAGTTGTAGTTGGTCATGTTGTTGGACACAATACTGTTCTAGTACGGGGTATAAGAAAAGTTAATATTATTATTGATATTCCGTGACTTACCTTATCGGACCTTATTTGGACGGACATTACATGAACGGACATTACATGAACGGACATTAATATGAACGCTCGAAGGCATTCGAAACCATCAAAAATCCGAATTTTTTTCAATTTTTTTGACGTTTTTAAATTTCAGCAAATGATTTTTAAATCCATTTTTTATACAGTAAGTAAGAAAAGCAGTCATTAAGCAGTAAAAATGTTAAAATATGTGTACATGATCAGTGTCTAATATCACATATCATCTTCATCAAATGGGGTTTCGTGCATGAAATAGTCCATGCTTAAAGCATCAGTGATTTCTAGCTTTATGGAAACCTTTTTTATCAAACTACCCCGGTCCTGCATTTCAGTGTTAACTTTTACATTCGGCGTGAAGTGGTTTTATCTTAGACAACTTAAGGTTAACCTTAACATCACGTGGAGCTTTCCTAGCACTGTTTCCTTACCGCCCCCGAGTAATATGAACTATAACAACGTCGGACAATGTCCTTGGCAACACGATTTACCGTAATATCTAGAGGCTGGAACAAGTTTGTCATGTTGGCGGGGACTAGTTTATGAACTATGTTGTTGAGTGCCATAATTTAAGTGACCCTTGAAAACATCATATACTAGTAGAGTTTTCTGTGCCTCCGGCAGACCAAGGAGAACCCTTCCGTCGTTAACTTACGGCACAATAAAGTTTTCAAAGTTGTCATATTCTGGACAAAAAGTTCGAAATGGAATATTTTTTGAAAAAATTTCAACGGACTTTAACTTGGACGGACATTAATTGAACGGACTTTATTTGAACGTACATTAAGATGAACGCTAGGGCCTCCAGCGTTCAAGTAATGTCCGTCCAAATAAGGTCCGATAAGGTATCCTGGCCAGAGTTTATTAACTTTAACGTTCGGTAAGGAAATGGTATTGTTTATGACGCAGGAAGCTGGAAAGTATATTTATAGATTTATAAGCGATAATCTACTAAATTGCACTGTTTCAACTCTCTAAGCGATTAATGTAACCTGCCACACGGAGATGACATTCTCATGGGAACAGTTTAAAAGTTTTAAAAATAAATAAGGTGTGGTGATGACCGCCTGCCCCTTTTATAGATGGATCATAACTGAGTACTACTGAGTAGTAATTTTGCAATCGATTTTGGATACAGTAGGAAAGCAAGAAAAACAGTCTTTAAGAAATAACAAATAAAATGTTGATACAATTTAGTCTTATGATTTTGACAAAAATTGAAATTTACCAAAATTAAAAAGTTGTCACAATTCACATACAATTAGTTCGTAGTGAAATACTGTTGGGAAGTCGACGGACTTTGACTTGGACGGACCGTTAAAAAAACAGGCTTTATTTGAACGGACAAGATAAGTTCCTTACTCCCTCCCTCCCTCTCTCCCTCCCTCCCTCCCTCCCTCCCTCCCTCCCTCCCTCCCTCCCTCCCTCCCTCCCTCCCTCCCTCCCTCCCTCCCTCCCTCCCTCCCTCCCTCCCTCCCTCCCTCCCTCCCTCCCTCCCTTAACGGGTGATACTCGTAAAATATCTGTTCCATATATTGGACCGTCGACGAGTCCAACTCGGCGCGCGTCCTGGTAGTTTGTAAACCTACAATCCCTCCCTCACCGTAGCAACCACAAAAATCCGATGAAGATGTTAAAGCGATATCACTATTACTTACACTACAATAGTTTTACGTCACTGCTCACATTGTCACGTAGGATCTTGAGCATTACCTTATTAGCTTATCTATGCAGTGCTAATGACCCTCGTCTTCAGTCTCTAGTTTATTGTGATCGCTCTACAGCTGATGTCATATGCAGCTGTTCGTTTGTTTGCACAGTGGGTGTGTACTGTGTACGTGACCGTTCGTAAAGCAAAAGTGCAGAGGATCAGGAAGTTGATTTAAGTTTCCTACAATTTGCTAAGCAGTGTGTATTGTATGCGGTCTGTTATTCAACTATACAAGAGAGTGTTCTAAAGAGAGGGAACAGTAATATTAGTAATATTATTAAAATTAACTGTAGGAGATTGTGTTGTAGTAAGGAGATGAGGGTGTTTGAGTCGTGTCTGGCGTGTGATTCCCTTCTGTTGGGCAAGGAAAGTGGCGTTGAGGTCACGTTCATGTATGAGGAGAATTATATGACTGAGACGATATGTAAAGAATGTAATTTGGATGATTGAGCAATATTAGATTGTTAATAAATGTTAGAATTCGTAGAGATTGAATCTGAGAAGCTGATTGAATATGTACAAACGTTAACATAAGACTGAGAGTGAGCTAACGATCCCGGTTACCATGGTAACTAGCAGTGTTACCATGGTAATTAGCAGTGTTACCATGGTAAGATCCCAGTTTCTATACGAGATTTAATTTTCAACAGAATTAACCTAATTTGTGGGCTGCAAGAATGAATCGTTTTTTCTACTTTAAAAGTAAAGTTGGACTGAGAAACTGCTTTTTTTAAATGTTTTATAATGTATTTCATGCTATTTCATATATTTTAGTTGTTAAAATATTTTGTTCAGTTATTAAATTATTAACAACACCACATTTGAAAACAAATGTTGAAAATAGCAGTGAAAAATTTGTTTAAGAAAAACGGAACCGCCCCTAATTGTAAAATAACGGCGAATGAAACGAATAGCTAGTGGTAAAAGAAATTATCAATTATTAATGAGCAGGTATTCATATGTGAAATATATTTACAATGAAACAGTTCAATATTAACAGTACAACAATAATATATGATAAGATAAATACTATCAAATTCAACGGCGCAAAAAACTCAAAAACTTAATCAAGTACGTTCGCAACCCGATTTATTCGGAACCCATTCTGTAAACATAAATCATGCAATTTACTCACATTCTGAAAAAATGCTCAAATAACTTTGCTTCTGGCATCTGTAAAGTTGCAGCAAAACAATAAACTAATAAATAATATGATACATGGTAAAATACTTTAATTAATTAATTAATTAATTACTTTAATTCACAAGATATTGTTAATTGATAAGTTCCTTTAAAAGGATAGATATAAAAGATACGATTCACAAGGCAATCTATGTCGTAATCCAGTTACAGTGAATAACGTAAATACAGCAAAGAAACCTGGGTATCTTTTATTCCTTTGGGCATTATATTATTTTAGCAAACATATAACCAAAATTCAAATAATCAAATTTTCAACAAAGTGATGTAATAATGAATATGCAATTGCAAAAGTTATCAGAGCATTTCTAAGAGCTCTATCTTAAACATTCATTTCCTCCTCCGCGTCAACATTTATTCCGATACCATCAAAATTGATTACAACCTCTCCTTTGCCTACATGCTCCTGTTTTACTGATTCTTCCTTATCTTCATCCTTCTCTTCCCCCTCTTTATCTCCACCCTCCTCCCTACTACCCTCCTCCTCCTTTTCTCCATCCTCTTTCACTCCTTCTCCAACATCCTGCACCTTTCCTTCACTCTCATCTTCATCATCATCCTCAGGTGGAGGCTGGTCTGGTGGTGGGGGTGGGATGCATTCCTCAGTGTTACCATGGTAACTAGCAGTGTTACCATGGGGAGGGATGCACTCCTCCACTGTAATGTGTACTTCACCTGGGGAGAAGGGGGAGAGAGGGATGTTGGTGAAGTTGTCTTCTTCAGAGCAAGGAACTGTTTCCTCCAACACGCGCACAAGGACGTGTTGTTTTTCTGATGTTACCATGGTAACACTGCTAGTTACCGGGGCTTTGGGTTCCGATTGGCTGTCTTTTCGTGGGGGTTCTTGGCTCGTGCTGAAAGGTCATTATAAATGAGGAAGAATAGACTCAAAATAATTTGAAACTGGGAATGTTTAACAAATAAAAAAACTTTTAGGAGGATGTTGTTGATGCTATTCTTTACAAAAAATTACCTCTGGCGTTGATTTTGCGTCGGGCCAACGGCGCCTGTAATTTTTCTCTTCCGTCGAATGCTATGTCTTGGCCCAAAAACAAATCTAGTTTGCTTTTCCCATAGTGCAAATGGCAACCTGTTGGGTTCGAACTTGTGAAATTGTGTTAATACATCCAGCTCTGTGATGATAAAAAGACTACTCTTAAAAGAAATATTTTTAAATAGATCCTTGAGTGTCTAGATTCTAACTGAAACGATTCAAAAAGCATAAAGAATAATATGAAACCATCGTTACCACAAGCAAACGCAGGGGAAGCAGAAAATGGAGATCAGGATGAACTTTATCCAGAGGGAGATGGCCATGTTTGGGGGAAATTCTAGTCGTAATATGTTTACATCTTCATTTTCTTCGTGGGGCAACTGATCTTTAGTTAGGTGATACCTGTTAAGTAACAATTGAGATTGGATTTAACTGATTCCAACTGTCACTAAAAGGGGTTGTTCAATTTTTTATGCCACGGAAGCCGGAACCTAGGAGGTTTTGATTTTGAAAAAACCTACTCTATAGACCTATATTGTAATTTATGATTATTTAATTAATTCCAGGAACCAGATAAACAGTAAACCACACTCACCAGCAGCCCCTGTAGCCCCGGACAATACACAAACCGTCCACATTCTCTCTAGCGTAGTTGGGAGCTCTAGTGCACTGCTGCTCCATTCCATTCTGTCGGGAAGTGAACGTCTCCTTACAGTACCTAGAGGTATTAGTTACACTAGGGGTAGTGTGGGCAGACCCTAAGTTACACTGTGACAGTCCCTGATCAAGTGCTCCTAAAGAGTCAAGACTCATTAAACATTATTTTAAAACTAGCTGCAGTCTGAGATGGTGCTTCAAAGAATCGTCGATATAAAACGATATTGCAAGTAAAAGTGAGTTGATAGAAAAAAAAACCCAAATAGTAATTTTGCAGTCACTTAAATGGTGCACCAACTCATTATCCCCAATTTGCACAAAGCCAGCCTACCTGCATCTGAAAACATAGACTGATTTCTTTTTGATAAGAGGGCGTTGGTTGGGAGAGTTAGTTACATCCTCTCTGGAGCTACTCGAGCTGTTAAGTGAGCAGTAACCTGCAGGAATTGCTGTTTTTATGGAGAGGATTACCTGCTGTTAAACAAATTGTGTGCAGCATGTAGACTGTAGAGGCGGTGTTTTGCATTCCTGCAATAGCAGGTAGCAGGGCGTTACATAATCGTTTGCAAAATAATAAAATAAGAAATTTACTTGAAAGAATCATCAAATGAGACTCTTAAGCAGTAAACGAATTACTAGAAAAAATGAAGACACTGTACTAGTGCCCTGATTTAGAAGTTACTGATATTTATATTAAATAGGCGTGGTAACTAGCAGTGTTACTATGGTAACTAGCAGTGTTACTATGGTAACTAGCAGTATTACTGTGGTAACTAGCAGTGTTACTATGGTAACTAGCAGTGTTACTATGGTAACTAGCAGTATTACTATGGTAACTAGCAGTATTACTATGGTAACTAGCAGTGTTACTATGGTAACTAGCAGTATTACTATGGTAACTAGCAGTGTTACTGTGGTAACTAGCAGTGTTACTATGGTAACTAGCAGTGTTACTGTGGTAACTAGCACTGATTTAGAAGTTACTATGATATTTATATTAAATAGGTATTCTACTCAACAGGTGATAGGAACTCAGAAAACATTGAAATAGACGTTTTTTCCCGTACAATCGATAAAACGTGATCAAATGACAGATAACGATATAATTTATTTTAATGAGTATTTTGATTGGCTTACCATTAGTTACCATAGTAACGCTACTAGTAATTCTGGGAGTCTCTAAAAACCGCCTCTTAAAAATTGGTTGATTTAAAATGCACTCACTTTCTGCCCGTGTCAAGGCCTTGTACCCGGCACTCATTCGACCAGACAATAAGACAGTGGGAGGAGTTTAAGACATAGCTCCTTTACAACTGATGCTGAAGAAAGATGGGTAATTTCTTATGTATACTGATACTGATATAATATGTAATACTGCTAAGATCTTTCTGCTAACAAGAAAGTATACGGCGATCATAGATTTAAGAGTATTAAATTATGCAAGACCAATTAAGTCATGCAAATAAAAGTAATGCGTTTAATATTCTGCACTAAGTCGGAAATAAATTTTCATATTTTCTTTAAAACTTATTTTTTAATAAGTCGGCAGGACAGATATTTTTACAAAATCACGAAAGCAGAATAGAAACAATACCCAATATTATAAAGCCATAAGCCACTGCAGCTTTGGATGATGATAAATCACTCTACACTGAACTACCACATTACTGAGTCCAACACCTTCTAACTTTCTAAAGATGGCTCGGACGAACAACTCAAAACTGTAACCCAAACGAGAAATGTTACCTACTTCCTTATATGGCAATATCACGTGATCAAAACAGCTTTTCCTATAACAGCTTGCCGATAACTTGTCAGGGAAGAATTTTAACCTCATACATATGAGTACACAGCTGGTAGTTCCAGATAAAGAGATTTAGCTCGCACACCTTTCACAATGGTTTACGTTACAAAATTACAAAATTGCGAAAGCAGAATATGAAAAACTACCCAGCTTGGTACTCTGCTACAGTATAAGTACATACTTAATTTTATGAAGGAGTAAGTACATACAGTACTAATACTATCTTACTATACAACAGTACTTTCCAACAAGTATACTCACAACTGAACCAGTACAATAACCAATGGATATACCGGCCCTGATACCGGCCCTGAACAAGCCTGGTCTACTGTAAAAAAAGAAACCCGTAATCACCCAGTAAGTGTACTCAGTAACTACAGGGGAATCACGATGATGACGTCACGCTGATGACGTCACGCTGATGACGTCACGCTGATGGTAATCACCCAGTAAGTGTACTCAGTAACTACAGGGGAAAAGAAATATACAGTGATTCTGCAACAACTTCAAGTGTACCAAGATATATGTATATATATTTTATATATCCTTTATAATACGCCTTAATGGGTCATAAGAGCTTTTAAACATCCAAACTGAAGTAGGTTGCAGCTCTAATAGGTTATCATCAGCGTGACGTCATCAGCGTGACGTCATCAGCGTGATAAGTCTATTAATACTTTAATAGTTAACCTGTGCAAAAGGAGCTGCGTTTGAATTTGAAATAATAATATATCTAATTCCTATCAGTTCTTTATATTTCCGTGTGTTTCTAATTCCTTTGCTGCGAACGCTTATTTTTAAAGTTTTTATAGTTTCAACACTACTATATAACAAATAATTTGAGATCATGAATACGATGTTGTAACATTGAAACGTTGAGTAATTCCTTTCCTGATAAGAGCATTTTCCTTTGTCGCATCAAACGGGATCAATACAAATTTACACAAAAATACATTGCTTATTTTTGACTGAGAAGTATGAATACCGTTACACTTACATAACAGGGCGTTACTGAAATCAAGATCACGAAGATTATGACGATAGAAGATGCTGAGCTACAAGGTCTGTGAAACGGGGAACTAGAAACGACGGACGATTATCACGAGCTTAAACGAGTACAGTACAGTCACAGATTACACCACATCTCCGCAAGCAATCCTACGATGTATCGGCACCCTTGTTTGAATCTATGTCTTTATCACATGTGGCGATACAATGTGCATGTCAATATACAGTTTCTGACGAATATAAGAATATACATTGCACAAATCTTTAAAGAATATCGTTACTGATATTCGCTTATTGAGTTACTGAGCGTAGCATAAGTGATTTGCACATGCAATATTGTAATACTGTATTTTACTATTTTAATTCCATATAGCTGCAGTACAAGGACTATGGAACGATTAGCGCAACCACTGTCGCAGTTAAAAAGGTGCAAAGTATGAACTCCTTCTAACTGCTATACAATTATAGTCTCCTACTTCCCCTACCCCTGATAACCAGGGACAAAAGAAAATCGCGATTATTTTGCCCAAAAATCGCGATACCGCGATTTTTAACAGACTATACATAAGACTATACATAAAATTTGTCGGAAATAATGGGAAAAATCACGAAAACGTGACTTCCAGGTACAGCGAACACGTGACTTCCAGGTACAGCGAAATAACTTCCTACAAAATTACAAAGCCCCGCTCGCTCGATAGTTATTAGTTAGTCTGGCCCGCTGTGTTATTACAGGTGATCAAGCTGTGAAATGTAAGGGGCAGTAACAGTTGGGAGGATCAGAGTGAGAAAATTATAATTTAAAAACTTAGATTTTTGGTTGTGTACTGTTTTGTGACGAAATTAGAATAATTATGGCCACAAAAATTGGAGCAGTGACTTTCACTTTGAGACTCTGTTAATAACTTATTGCTACGTTCTATAATTATAAATCTTGCATTCAGCTCACTCCAGATAAGCGTGGAGTACGGAATACGGGCCGGGTCATGTTGATATAATCCCAGCAAATTAAACTGGCAACTTGTTTACAAGGTCAGAACTCAGAACAAACTCAGAAATAGGTGTATATGGCAGATAGACAAGCACGTACCTATTATAAATTTATTATCGTGTGGATTCGCACGCTACTACGTAGTGATTACATGACTGGTCACTAACTTCCGAAGAAACGACCCAAATATACCATAAACCCCCAGGAGGGGCTACTACCAGAGTACCAGATAACAACCTCCCCCAGCACGGTGCAGTAAACCCCCAGGAGGGGCTACTACCAGAGTACCAGATAACAACCTCCCCCAGCACGGTGCAGTAAACCCCCAGGAGGGGCTACTACCAGAGTACCAGATAACAACCTCCCCCAGCACGGTGCAGTAAACCCCCAGGAGGGGCTACTACCAGAGTACCAGATAACAACCTCCCCCAGCACGGTGCAGTAAACCCCCAGGAGGGGCTACTACCAGAGTACCAGATAACAACCTCCCCCAGCACGGTGCAGTAAACCCCCAGGAGGGGCTACTACCAGAGTACCAGATAACAACCTCCCCCAGCACGGTGCAGTAAACCCCCAGGAGGGGCTACTACCAGAGTACCAGATAACAACCTCCCCCCAGCACGGTGCAGTAAACCCCCAGGAGGGGCTACTACCAGAGTACCAGATAACAACCTCCCCCAGCACGGTGCAGTAAACCCCCAGGAGGGGCTACTACCAGAGTACCAGATAACAACCTCCCCCCAGCACGGTGCAGTAAACCCCCAGGAGGGGCTACTACCAGAGTACCAGATAACAACCTCCCCCAGCACGGTGCAGTAAACCCCCAGGAGGGGCTACTACCAGAGTAACAGATAACAACCTCCCCCAGCACGGTGCAGTAAACCCCCAGGAGGGGCTACTACCAGAGTACCAGATAACAACCTCCCCCAGCACGGTGCAGTAAACCCCCAGGAGGGGCTACTACCAGAGTACCAGATGGGCCTATGTCAGCTGGAGAGCTCCCAAAAATACAGTAAATGCAAAATATGTTAGTTAGAAGAGTGTAGCTGGGACGGCCGCTATAACGGTTGTTGTAATACGAGTAGCAATTAGGGAATCAGTCACAACTGACTCCTAGCTTAAAGGTGCTCTCTCCTGGATTCTAGAGGCCGACAGGTGGGCCGCAAATACTTGCCCCGGCAACCGTTACCATGGTCACTTGCACTGATACCGGCCGTTAAGTGATTGTTGCTCAACACGCCACATAAGTACAATAATTATAGTAAGTATAGCTCTCTTATGGTGCATTTTTGTGTACGGTTAAACTTGTAACCAGGAGAGTTACTGGGGGGGGGGGGGGGGGGGGGGCTAACGATTTTAAAATATAGGGAGAGAGAGAGAGAGGGGGGAGAGAGAGAGAGGGGGGAGAGAGAGAGAGAGAGAGAGAGAGAGAGAGAGAGAGAGAGAGAGAGAGAGAGAGAGAGAGAGAGAGAGAGAGAGAGAGAGAGAGAGAGAGAGAGAGAGAGAGAGAGAGAGAGAGAGAGAGAGAGAGAGAGAGAGGAGAGAGAGAGAGAGAGAGAGAGAGAGAGAGAGAGAGAGAGAGAGAGAGAGAGAGAGAGAGAGAGAGAGAGAGAGACTACTAGAAAGTTTAAACACGATGATTTATAATTTTTAGCGCCAGTGATAAAATGATACACACTGCAGAAATAAGACAACGACTGTAAAAGCTATTTATAAAAATATATATACCGAGGACTTAATTGTTTACAACTATTCAACAGCCTTACCGGCAAGAGTTCTGGGGACTGTCGCTTAGTAACCATCACTGTTTGCCTCGAACAATGATGCCAAAAAGTAGTGTTGAGGACAACTGCAAACTTTTATCGAGAGGACCGTGGACTCTATTCTTTGGATCACGCTCATATAGGTATAATTACTTTGATAGAAAACCAGCGATCTATCCTTTTTAGAGCATATCACGAAAAGAAATAGCCTCTCTAGCTCACAGATATACATCAGTTCTTCAAAATAACTCCTCCATTATCAAGACTTCAAGGTTCTATAAGTAGCGAAATTCATTAAAAGTACATTTACTAATTTTCGAGCAAAATGTTCACAATTTTATCATCAGTTATCAAAAAGTCTCATCTTCGAGAGAAAACAGTCAACAGTGATAGTACTGGTAGTCATTTTGTCTTACCTCTCTATTCATTATAAATTGATATATATATAATCATTTTGATATCTATAACAATCATTCTAAACTGATATCTAAAGTCTTATAGTGATGTTACCATAGTAACACTACTAGTTACCATAGTAACACTTATAGTGATGTTTAGCTGATTATTTTAAGTTTAAGCCGAGACATTAAGCGCTCTTACCCACCATCAATATTTAGACCAACAATTAGTTTCTGGTGAGCTTACCCTTGCAAAAACTAGCAGTGTTAATATGGTAACTAGCAGGGTTACAATGGTAACTAGCAGTGTTACCATGGTAACTAGCAGTGTTACCATGGTAACTAGCATTGTTACCATGGTACCTAGCAGTGTTACCATGGTAGCTAGCAGTGTTACCATGGTAGCTAGCTGTGTTACCATGGTAGCTAGCAGTGTTACCATGGTAGCTAGCAGTGTTACCATGGTAGCTAGCAGTGTTACCATGGTAGCTAGCAGTGTTACCATGGTAGCTAGCAGTGTTACCATGGTAGCTAGCAGTGTTACCATGGTAGCTAGCAGTGTTACCATGGTAGCTAGCAGTGTTACCATGGTAACTAGCATTGTTACCATGGTAACTAGCAGTGTTACCATGGTAACTAGAATTGTTACCATGGTAACTAGCAGTGTTACCATGGTAGCTAGCAGTGTTACCATGGTAACTAGCATTGTTACCATGGTAACTAGCAGTGTTACCATGGTAACTAGCATTGTTACCATGGTAACTAGCAGTGTTACCATGGTAACTAGCAGTGTTACCATGGTAACTAGTAGTGTTACCATGGTAACTAGCAGTGTTACCATGGTAACTAGCAGTGTTACTATGGTAGCTAGCAGTGTTACTATGGTAACTAGCAGTGTTACTATGGTAACTAGCAGTGTTACTATGGTAACTAAGCGCTCTTACCCACCATCAATATTTAGACCAACAATCAGTTCCTGGCGAGCTTATATACCGTTGCAAAAACTAAATTATAAAGCAAGTTCAGCCATCTAAATTATTCACTGAACATCACCCGGTTAACCCTGAGTCTATGATAGAGAGTACGCGTAACAGTATCTAGAGAATGTACTAGTACTTACTTACTTTTGTTAGTTTTGTTACTTTTGTTGGGTTTAGCGCACTGCAACAGAGTCATTAACTATTTTGACCGCCTCATAGCTCCGATGTTACAGGATCCTTTCGCCATTCCAGGATGGAGTTGGTATAACTATTAGGGGATGTGTCTCGCTTGACCGGAGGCTGGTCAGGGATCTGCCGGAGCAAAGATGTGAGTTGTATTTTGAAGGATTCAAATTCTTCCAGTAGTAGTAGTAGTAGTAGTACATTCGTGTCAATTTTAAAAATAAAGAAACCATTGTTTACAGTCTTGTAGTGGTCACACTCAGCCGAGGTAAACGCTGGTATATGAGTATGTGCCTGGACGTTGGACAGAAGAAGTGAATTAGGAATGGTCCAGCATCGCCCAATATAAATATCCAAGTGGATACTGTGTAGACAAATCAGCTGAGGACAGATGACATGAGCATTTCATTGTTTGTAATGGAATTATCTTAGCAAATCATAGCACCTTCTGATGCATCGACCTTCGAATTCTTTAGCATATTAAATCGTCTCAAGTTTTCATTTTACAAAAATGTTTCTAAGTTCTTAGAAAGTTAGAATTGACTATTAAATACTAGCAAATACAATCTAACAAAGGGAAAGTGTACTCAAAATGCCGCTGCAGCTGCAGTGGACTAAAACGTAAAGTTAAAGACGCACAACAAGCACTATTCAGTGTTACTATGGTAACTAGCAGTGATACTATTCAAATAGTTCCAATAATAATTATTTTTAAATCTTATTTTCAAATGATTTTTATAATGTGGCATTTATAATTTTGGTCTCCAATGTATTCTGAAAAGAAAAGAAGGATAGATATTATAGAGCACTAACGTCATTGTCACTAGAGGAAGAAGTGGTCTGAGGGAAACAAAATTTATAAACGCGACGGATTTTAAAAATTTGAATATTCGATGGTATTGCATCTATGTGTGTAATTTCCTGTTTCGCTGAAACAGTCATGACCTATATGTGACTATAGTGACTACAAGTTACAAGGTTTTGTCCTGCACCGAGGACGTTAAGGACTTTATCGTGTAATTCAATTTGGGAGCAACCTGTGTTATCATGGTACCACGCAGCTGTTGTCATAAGTATTTAGTCTTAATTATTCATGACCTGCAGATCACGTCCTATAATATACGTTCTACAATCACTAAGGGAAGTTAATTCCTAATTCCTATGAAAATGATGATTTTGTGAGTTAGCTTATTAGGGGGGATTGCACTCATTGCGGTCTGTTTGGACTGTAGAGAGAGTTCATACTTTCATACGACAATTTTATGCGTGTTTTCAAATATAATAGGCGGATTAATACTTTAGCATTTCTACTACTACTGCGATAGTGAAGTCCCGGCCGTAAGCACGGGTTACACTAGTAATTAAATAATTACAATATTTGTCCCATGGCTCCAAAAAGTCGGCTCCCACATTAGGTGCACTTAAGAAAACAATGCGAAACCGGAAAATTAATAACAGAACATATTGCACGGAGAAACCTTGCGCAGTTATAAAATTGAAAGATTTATATTAAACAAATTAAAAGTTAGATATTTTGCGTGATTTCAGGATTTGATTGAATTGGAAGATTGAATTCTATGATTAAATTTTTTAATGGAATCTTATACGTCCTACGACGGTCGACGAATTCAGTACCTCAAGTGGCTAGCTCTATTTGCCTAAGAACTAACCGAGGCCGCTACAGAGTGTTAATTGTATGTTGCCTATGCACCTATTAAACTCCATATTTTTTGTTAATACTATTTGCAAATCTGCTTTTCAAATAGCACAAGATTTTGTACTCGCCAAGCGTAGCCAAGCGAAGGAATTTTAATAAATCCTTTTTCTGATCATGTTGCTCATAAAACTGTAATAGTAATACTTTCAGGATCAGATATCAAAATTACGTGATAACAATTTTGGGCGCTTAACTAAAAATATCGTAAAATGATTTTGTTTAAAAAAACTAAATTACCATTAACCAGGTTCGCCATGAAAACCACGTGCCTTCTAGTACTACTTTTGGTATGTGTGATACCGTACATGCGAGCTGAAAGTGAAGGAGCTGACGGAGATGCAGCTGACGGAGCTGCAGCTGACGGAGCTGCAGCTGACGGAGCGGCAGCTGACGGAGATGCAGCTGACGGAGCTGCAGCTGACGGAGCGGCAGCTGACGGAGATGCAGCTGACGGAGCTGCAGCTGACGGAGATGCAGCTGACGGAGATGCAGCTGACGGAGATGCAGCTGAAGGAGATGCAGCTGAAGGAGATGCAGCTGAAGGAGATGCAGCTGACGGAGATGCAGCTGAAGGAGATGCAGCTGACGGAGATGCAGCTGAAGGAGATGCAGCTGAAGGAGATGCAGCTGAAGGAGATGCAGCTGAAGGAGATGCAGCTGACGGAGATGCAGCTGAAGGAGATGCAGCTGAAGGAGATGCAGCTGAAGGAGATGCAGCTGACGGAGATGCAGCTGAAGGAGATGCAGCTGACGGAGATGCAGCTGAAGGAGATGCAGCTGAAGGAGATGCAGCTGAAGGAGATGCAGCTGAAGGAGATGCAGCTGACGGAGATGCAGCTGAAGGAGATGCAGCTGAAGGAGATGCAGCTGATGATGACAAAGACGAGGACGATCACCATGAGGACCAAGACGAGGACGATCACCATGGCGACTTTTCAGCTGGTACAGGTGTTAAGATCAGCAGTATTGTCTTCGGTGTTGTGGCAGCAAGGTTCCTCTAAGCTAAAAACAGTTATGAAGATATGTCGTGTCAACGCATCTAAGTGCGAATAAGCGTACGATTTCAATTTTGACTTGATCATAGAATTGCTAAAATTTTAAGTAAAATAGTTTCAGATTTAAGTAGATTGTTTGACACCCTGTTTACAGTTTATTACCAATCCTATAAGGATAGTATTTACATATTTAGCTCATATATTTAATCTAAAATTTGTAAAAATCATTTTGTCCTGTAAAGTGTAACAAATAGTTTTACTTTTCATTAAAATGAAATGAAATGTTCACACAAAATAAAAAGTTCTGTGGTAATCGTTAAGCGGCTAGCGTAAAGTACTATCTATGGCTACGGAACTTTTTTATTCGAACCCAGTTTTTATACTTTTTATTGAATTTTAACTTTCGCAAAATCATGGGCATCTAAAAATCTAACTGAAATTAAATAATTGTTTCCTATTACAAGTATAAATATTAAATATAAATAAAAGTAGAAAATTCGACCATCTTCTTACCTTCGAGAGATGGCGAGGTGGGGGTGTAGGAGTCGTCCCCTTTCCCAGCGCCGGGAGAAGAGGACGGGTGGCCCACCCCGAAACCAGAGACGGAGACGGTGACCGTCTGCAAATGCTAAATGATACCGAGAATGAGATCGGTTGCTCGCTTTTCCCATTCATTCACGGCTTACGAATTGTAAAAAGTTTCGATTAATTACATCGATCACATACTGTACAAATCTATTTGGGTTGCTTTCGGGTCGTATGATGTCAAAACTGAAAGTGAAAGTATACTCCAGTCGTATCCGCCTTGGGCCAACACTTTCAGTCTTAGTTAGCTATTTACCCCAAGTAGCGTGACGTAATCGCTGCTACTGCTAGCTTTGTTCAACTGTTATATGATAACTGTGTGACATTACATTTATCAGTACGTAATGATAATGATTAATTATCCTCATAGTAGCTTTTAAAGTGAAGTTATCGGCTCATATTATTTCGCTTGCCCAAAAATGATCTCTTGACTTGGGTTTTTAAGATTTAGTGGGGGCTAAGTTATTAAACTTTTATTAAATTCCACGATGAAAGTTCAGTAAATAATTTAAATTGAATAACTATAATTGGAAGTCATGATTGATGATTTAAGTGTTAAGTTTGAGTTTGTCCACCTAGATACAGGACCCTGTTACTTATATAAATAGCTTATTCTATTTTAATTTTAGTTATACATACTACATGGTTATCCGGTTGTCAATTAAAAAAATACGATTGACTAAATGTAAATTTGCAATATCGCCGATTATGGATTTAAAGGGATCAAAATTATTATTACCCTTAGATGCAGGTAGGAAAAATTAATTATCTAATTGTCTATAATAATTAATTATTTGTAGGTTTACAACCTACCAGGACGCGCGCCGAGTTGGACTCGTCGACGGAACAAATATTTTACGAGTATCACCCGTTAATTAATTATCTGTGATAATAATCTCGGCAGAATTGGCGCTTTCCAAATTGTTCCAACTATACGGTGAATTACTGGACAAATAGTTTGTTGACGTGATTAATTTCATTCTTTTAATTTTCGATCATTTCATTTTTTATAATTTCTCCGCGTCCGTTGTAATTAATAATTATGACAGTACCGCAGACTTACGTTTTAATAAAAGTCGTGCCACGCGCACGCGTCTTGAAAAATAATTAAGCTTCGTTTATATGATTGAGCACAGTAAATCTCAAAAATGAGAGGGTCGACACTTTGAACAACAGCTTTGAATGATCACAGCTACGATTGACGTTTAAAATCTGTAAAACAGTATAGATAGAGTAACACATTAGTGACACTGACAATGGCTGTCCTGACGAGGAACTGTTGAAAAAAAATTAGCTGAAAAGAAATAATTCTCGAGAACTGTAATTCTCTGTTCCACTTTTTGAAATTGATGTTGTGATTTGTTTCAGCGCAGTTTGAATAACAGTATAAGCAGCATTTATAAGTTAATTATTTAATTAATATTTAATTGGCAGCGGTCCACTCTACCTATGATTTATTAGTTAATTAGTTAATGTAACCTTTAAGATCAGTGAACGAATTAGGTGATTGGTCCAGTCGTCTTTCTTCTTTACGTCAACGATCTAGATCAGTACGTGAAAGATTCGAAAGCTTTGCCGATGACACCCGAATAGACAGAAAAATATCAACTTTAAACGACTGCAATCTTCTTCAAGAAGATCTAAACAAAATCATACTTTGGTCCGAGGACAACAACATGAAACTGCACGAAAACAAGTTTGAACTTGTTTGCTATAGAACACCGGCCTCTAAATCACTTTCAGAGGAGCTGCCATTTATGAATGACATCACAAACTACACCACTCCAAATGGATCAGTCATAGAAAGAAGCCCATTAGTGCGTGACTTAGGAGTCAACATGTCCGATGATTACTCCTGGACACCACATATCAATATCATGGTTGGCATCTTGGGTTCTTGCCTCTTGGAGTATTCAAAAGTTCAAAGACAGGACAACACCTGTTATGCTCCAGCTCTACGAATACCTGATAAGGTCCAGAGTGGAGTACTGCTGCCCGCTCTGGAACCCACCAAGATCTATGATATTCAGTCGAGAGCATACAACACCAGTTCACTAGACGGATTCTAGGGCTCAAAGACACCGATTATTGTAATAGACTGAAGGAACTGAAACTTACAAGTTACATCCCTGCAAAGACGCCGAGAACGTTACACCATCACACATCTGTGGAAAGTTTTCCAAGGTATATTTCCAAATGACCTAGATGTACAGTTCGGAGAGAATGCCAGACTGGAAGTTAAAGTTATACTCCCTTCTCTCACAAAAAAGCATCAGCCGCCTACGACCACTCATTCGCAGTGAGAGCTGGAAGACTATGGAATGTTCTCCCCAAAATTGTCAATACTCAAAAGACTTTGGCAAGCTTCAACACATTTTTTGGAAACTTCTTAGACACCCTTCCAGACAAGCCCCCTACTCCTGGATACAGTGCAGAAACTCTAACTCGATAATAGACTGGTGCAGTCAAGGAGGTGGTCCGCAGATTGCGTGATGGCCGTGAGGATGCCTACTTCTAAACCTCTCAATAGGTTCCATAGGTAGGATTCGAGAGGATTTGCCGATGAAATCTTTAAAATAATATGTGTCTAGAGCAATACGCACGATTTTGCTAGCACTAAAGTTAAGTTTTTCAAAATTGTCCCATATCCAAAAGAAGATTTGGCATCCTCTCAATTCTCATGGCAGGGTTAGCGGTGCCGTTCGTTACGCCACTGGATGATTTGCGGTGCAAAATGCTTTTGATACATACATTCTTACTTTTCTTAAGCATAATTCTCATTACCAACTTACTGTCCGAGTTTCAAAATGGAATTAATATTGATGTCTGATGACCGTTGAATAATAATAATGTATGTGTATTCATGAACTTTCAACCTTTTACAAGGTATTTGGTTATTTTCAAGGTATTTGGTTGTTAGTGAGATTTCCAATACACCAAACCTCCCAATATACTGACTTCTTACAGTGACATTATGAGTATTTTCAGTCATATCAGATATTATGTAACGTTAAAGTGATCAGTTAATTCGACAAATTGGAAAAACGATATTCTAATGTAGCGGCAATTATTGCTGATCTAATGAAGATAAGGATACTCATTCTTACAGCTTTGTTGTGTTCAACCCTCCAGGGTAAATGTTTAATTACACAACTTTATTATCCAAAATTAATTAATTCCTTCATTTTTGTGAGTCTTATAGCTATCTTATACCTGTATAAATTGTAAAAAGCAGGTTAGTAAAACATAGTTGATAATTGATAAAACACAATGATTTATCATTTTAATTATTTCAGGTTATTTACAGCGAGTACAGGGTGAGATTACACCTGTTTCCGTATCTTTCTCAAATCAGGCTAACGCAGATAATGCCATAGACAGGGAAATACTCACTGAAACTGTTGTTCGCGGATCTGACTCCTGGTTTAAAGCTACGTTAGATACGAAATACTGTATCGAAGAAGTGCGGCATTATTACATTAATACTTTGTCTTATCCGTATAAAAAGCACATATGCTCGAGAGACACGTGTACCTGTGTAAGTGGTTATCAAAATTTCTGTGCTTATTGGCCCGTGACAGTGTACCCTGAGGATGGGATAGTCCCTGACAATACCCCTTCCGATTGTAAAATTGGTGACACAGTTTTTATAGATAGGGGAAATTACGGTGCTACTGATGTAAATGAAATAGTTATCATCGGAAGAATTATTGATCCAGGTGAGATTTTATATCGTGTTCATAGGCAAGTTTTATGAATTTTATCACTGGAAACGAAAATGATTAATTACGTTCTCAAACCATTCTAGAGTTTTTTAAACTAATTTCCCTCGTACGTGATTTATACCCTTTACATTATCTCATCCTGTGATGTTTCGGCACCTTTTGCCAATTTGCTTTTCTAAATTCGAGCAAATTAACCGGTCTACTTTTTCAGCTCTCCAATTTGGCACCACAGTCAGTGATTACGTTAGATTCTACCCTGATATGAGTAATGTTTAACACGCTCTGACGGTATGCTCATGGGTTAAGAAACAGCAGACTGGGATTTATAGAACCTGGATAAACTACGCAACAAGTACTCATGCTCACGAAATCCTCATCTCTGACGCTGGAGGGTGGAACTTCATTCACAACAGCGGTGGCAGTGTGTCTGTTTCAGTGCCGCTAAACACATGGACCCACCAATGCCAGAGCTGGTCCACAAGCTCTGCAACACTAAAGGTATACTACAACGGAACTCTGGTATGGTCTTACAGAGTTGACAATACTTCTCCATTAGAAGAGGGCGGCTACATTCTCCTGGGACAATACAGTGGGTGGAGTGGCAGCTCAGATGGATCAGACGTATTCGGAGGACAGCTGATGAAGTTGAATATATTTGGAAAGGAACTAAGCGGGACAGAAGTTGCAGAGCTGTATCAAGGTGGCAGATGTTCTGAAGTGGAAAAGAAGTTCGATAATGTCAGATTCATTACCTGGGAAAGTATTCTAAGTCAGTACAGAACTGGTAATGTGATCGAGGTTAACTCAGGATGTGAATCTTCATCTGGTAAGTACGATATGGAACTGGGAGATATGGAACTGATTTGGTATTCACAAAAATTACTTATATCACTAATGGATGGAATTAACTTTCAAAGTTTCTGGAGCAAGTAACAAGTTAAACTTTGCTATCTGGAGTAGCGAGTATGCACTATGCAGTTTAGTTGAATTGTGTAACTCCGATTTTAATCAAATTCACGCAGTCAGCAACCCCATTGAACTAAAATTTTGGAATAGTCAGTAACGATTATTTTCATGAAATTTAGCAATATTTATAGTGATGAATCAATTATTATTTGATAAAGGTGTGAGTTAGCATGGTGAGGGGTAAATATCAGAAACTCGTTAGGTTTATTTCTACACAGTCATGCTAGGGGCTGTAATACCTAAACTGGTGAAAGGATTTGCGGTCATTTTGATGATTTTTTAAAACGCTAAAACGTTTACGCTGAAATGTTTCTTCGATTACTCAAAAAAATAAACACATTAGCATGAGGGCACATAATTATTTTGGAAGTCGGTAGTCCAAGCGGATGCCACTGCCGGTAGGGTTGTACGAGGTCATGTATCTTGTAGTGGCTTGTGGAGAGTCCCATCATAAGCACCTACTAGCACAAAATTAGACTTGCTTTAAAGCAGAAAATGTGTGTCCACTCTTTTTAAATAGTTTTAAACACAAATGTATGTATGCCCCCTTAGGGAAAGTGGAAGTCGAACTGGATTCATTTGTTTATTTGTGCTAATAAAGATAAAAAGAGACCCCTTACAGTCTTTATAAACTATAAGAAAAATAATGTTATTTAGTTAATTAATAATTATATTCAGTTGCTGTTAACGGAGGCTGGAGCTCGTTCTCATCTTGGTCGTCCTGCTCAACATCTTGTGGAACAGGAACGCAAACAAGAAGTAGAACTTGTACTAACCCTACTCCGGCTCATGGAGGAAGCAGTTGTTCTGGATCATCTGCTGAGAGCCAAAACTGCAACACTCACGATTGTCCAGGTATAGAAGACGAAAAAACCCAATTTTAAGTTTGAAAAGTGGGTTTCGGTGCCCATTTTTGTTTAATCGTTACATGGCTACTGAAAACTATAAGAAAGATAATCTTATTTAGTCAATTAAGAATATTATTCAGTAAATGGAATTGTTGTTGTTCTGGAACATCTTCTCGGAGTTAGATTTGGAACATTATCTAGGCTAACCTGTGAATGATCAATGATACATTTATTTGAAAAGTTTAAATGCAAAAACAAGCAGAAAAACTGTGATTAAGTTATACATATATAATGTACAAAATTAAATTATATGGAAGAAATGAAAATTTGATTTATTAATTCAGTCGTGACTGCTGTCAATAAAGAGCAGCTAGCTGGTACAAAGGCTTTGATTTCCTGTACAGTAACTGGTCTGAAGAGGAAGCTAGATGGTGTGAAATGGACCACCTCTAACAACTTAGCTATCGTCTCTGGCCAGGATGGCTATACCTTTGATGAAGGTGGCTTTGATGGCAGTTCTCAAACTACAGTATTGACGGTTCCTGGTGCTCAAAGCATGCTTGATTCAACTTACAACTGTGTAATCACATTCGCTGAACAAGATCAAGAAGATATGACCTTGGTCGTCAATTCGAAAACATTTAGTAAGTTAGCCATATTAGTAGCACAAACTTGATAAAAAGCATTAGTTAGTAGTATGATCAGTATAGTTTGATCAGTAGTAAATATTGATGGAGAACACTGTTTTTGTTAGAATAACTTAAATTCAGTTTTAATTTCAATGTTTCTAACACAAAACAATCTTAGCGGTCAGTTCGGAGGCCAAGTTGGTGACAACAGCTGTAGATCAGACGCTGACCTGTACTATCGGAGAACTAGACGTAGGTGGAACCCCTGTTAATGTGGTCTGGAAGAATCCTGATGGTTTGACAGTTTCAGTCTCGGATACCACCAACTATCTTGTCAGCCAAGGAACTGTTAATAGTGCTGGCATCCAGTTGGCAGAACTAACCATCAAGGCTGCCAAGCTACCTGCATTTGTTGATCAGCCAACCTTCACGTACAAGTGCTCGGTTTCTTCATCACAGTACACAGAATCACCTGCATCTACAGCTGTAGATGTTGTAGCAAACATTCTGAAAATGGGTAAATTCAAAATAAATGTGTTTCAAGAAGTTTGAAAACAATTTTTGTAAATGGAATCAATTTTCTGTTGTTAACGCAGTTAAAACTTGTATATTAATTACTTTGTGCACAATCCTGGTTTATGATCATAATAATTAACATTATTATTGAGCGGGAAACATTCAAGTGACGCATTAGCGAGTCAACCTATTCTAACTAAATATTAATTTCAGAGGTGAACGCTGTGAACAAAGAACAGCTAACAGGCACGATTGCAAGGATATCGTGTACTGTTACGGGTTTGACAGAGGAGCTTAGTGTCACAAAATGGACCACTTCTGAGGATGTTGATGTGACGAGTCTAGAAGGCTACACCGTTCTTCCGGGATCGTTGGAAGTAGATACTCAAACTACCACTCTGACTATTCCTGCTGATAAGAACAACAATGATGCAACTTACTGGTGTGTTATCACTTCCACTGAACATGGTTTAACAGATCAGAAAACTGAAGTCAGTTCCAAAGTCTTTAGTAAGTATTGTTACTTAAAGTTGTATGTAATGTATATAAATGTGTGGCTGTACAAATAATTATATACGTATAATAAAGATAATATCCTCTAAAATGAACCAAACAATTCAGCTGTCACCTCAACACCCAAGTCTATAACGACCGCTGTAGATCAGACGTTGACTTGCAATATCGGAGGTCTAGACAATAGTGGATCCCCTGCTACTGTAACTTGGAAGGATAGTGCTGGACAAGAAGTTGTAAGAACGGATACCACAAACTATGGTTGGACCCAAGGGACGGTAGATAGCAGCGGAAATCAGGCAGCAGAACTGACTATCAAAACTGCAAAGCTGGATGGTTTTAGTAGTCCATCATCAGTCACCTACAAGTGCTCAGTCAAATCTTCCCAATACACAGATTCTCCTGCATCTGACTACGTAGATGTTGTAGCTAATATTCTAAAATTGGGTGAGTTTAGAATATGTCATACAGTTAATCAAGGAAGTTCAAAGATTGTCGGACACACAGTGGTAAGTTATTCTAACTAAATATTAATTTCAGAGGTAAATGCTGTGAACAAAGAACAGCTAACAGGCACGATTGCAAGGATATCGTGTACTGTTACGGGTTTAACAGAGGAGCTTGGTGTCACAAAATGGACCACTTCTGAGGATGTTGATGTGACGAGTCTAGAAGGCTACACCGTTGTTCCGGGATCGTTGGAAGTAGATACTCAAACTACCACTCTGACTATTCCTGCTGATAACAACAACAATGATGCAACTTACTGGTGTGTTATCACTTCCACTGAACATGGTTTAACAGATCAGAAAACTGAAGTCAGTTCCAAAGTCTTTAGTAAGTATTGTTACTTAAAGTTGTATGTAATGTATATAAATGTGTGGCTGTACAAATAATTATATACGTATAATAAAGATAATATCCTCTAAAATGAACCAAACAATTCAGCTGTCACCTCAACACCCAAGTCTATAACGACCGCTGTAGATCAGACGTTGACTTGCAATATCGGAGGTCTAGACAATAGTGGATCCCCTGCTACTGTAACTTGGAAGGATAGTGCTGGACAAAAAGTTATAAGACCGGATACCACCAACTATGGTTGGAACCAAGGGACGGTAGATAGCAGCGGAAATCAGGCAGCAGAACTGACTATCAAAACTGCAAAGCTGGATGGTTTTAGTAGTCCATCATCAGTCACCTACAAGTGCTCAGTCAAATCTTCCCAATACACAGATTCTCCTGCATCTGACTACGTAGAAGTTGTAGCTAACATTCTAAAATTGGGTGAGTTTAGAATATGTCGTACTGTTAATCAAGGAAGTTCAAAGATTGTCGGACACTCAGTGGTAAGCTATTTTAACTAAATATTAATTTCAGAGGTAAATGCTGTGAACAAAGAACAGCTAACAGGCACGATTGCAAGGATATCGTGTACTGTTACGGGTTTGACAGAGGAGCTTGGTGTTACAAAATGGACCACTTCTGAGGATGTTGATGTGACGAGTCTAGAAGGCTACACCGTTGTTCCGGGATCGTTGGAAGTAGATACTCAAACTACCACTCTGACTATTCCTGCTGATAACAACAACAATGATGCAACTTACTGGTGTGTTATCACTTCCACTGAACATGGTTTAGCAGATCAGAAAACTGAAGTCAGTTCCAAAGTCTTTAGTAAGTATTGTAACTTAAAGTTGTATGTAATGTATATCCTGAAGGTAACGTTTTATTAATATTTCAACTTGTAAAAGTGTAGTGTTTAACTGGTGTAAATGTGTGTTTGTACGAATAATTATATACGTATAATAAAGATAATATCCTCTAACATGAACCAAACAATTCAGCTGTCACCTCAACACCCAAGTCTATAACGACCGCTGTAGATCAGACGTTGACTTGCAATATCGGAGGTCTAGACAATAGTGGATCCCCTGCTACTGTAACTTGGAAGGATAGTGCTGGACAAGAAGTTATAAGAACGGATACCACCAACTATGGTTGGAACCAAGGGACGGTAGATAGCAGCGGAAATCAGGCAGCAGAACTGACTATCAAAACTGCAAAGCTGGATGGTTTTAGTAGTCCATCATCAGTCACCTACAAGTGCTCAGTCAAATCTTCCCAATACACAGATTCTCCTGCATCTGACTACGTAGAAGTTGTAGCTAACATTCTAAAATTGGGTGAGTTTAGAATATGTCGTACTGTTAATCAAGGAAGTTCAAAGATTGTCGGACACTCAGTGGTAAGCTATTTTAACTAAATATTAATTTCAGAGGTAAATGCTGTGAACAAAGAACAGCTAACAGGCACGATTGCAAGGATATCGTGTACTGTTACGGGTTTGACAGAGGAGCTTGGTGTTACAAAATGGACCACTTCTGAGGATGTTGATGTGACGAGTCTAGAAGGCTACACCGTTGTTCCGGGATCGTTGGAAGTAGATACTCAAACTACCACTCTGACTATTCCTGCTGATAAGAACAACAATGATGCAACTTACTGGTGTGTTATCATTTCCACTGAACATGGTTTAACAGATCAGAAAACTGAAGTCAGTTCCAAAGTCTTTAGTAAGTATTGTAACTTAAAGTTGCATGTAATGTGTATCCTGAAGGTAACGTTTTATTAATATTTCAACTTGTAAAAGTGTAGTCCTTGAGTGGTGTAAATGTGTGTTTGTACGAATAATTATATACGTATAATAAAGATAATATCCTCTAACATGAACCAAACAATTCAGCTGTCACCTCAACACCCAAGTCTATAACGACCGCTGTAGATCAGACGTTGACTTGCAATATCGGAGGTCTAGACAATAGTGGATCCCCTGCTACTGTAACTTGGAAGGATAGTGCTGGACAAGAAGTTGTAAGACCGGATACCACCAACTATGGTTGGAACCAAGGGACGGTAGATAGCAGCGGAAATCAGGCAGCAGAACTGACTATCAAAACTGCAAAGCTGCATGGTTTTAGTAGTCCATCATCAGTCACCTACAAGTGCTCAGTCAAATCTTCCCAATACACAGATTCTCCTGCATCTGACTACGTAGAAGTTGTAGCTAATATTCTAAAATTGGGTGAGTTTAGAATATGTCATACAGTTAATCAAGGAAGTTCAAAGATTGTCGGACACACAGTGGTAAGTTATTCTAACTAAATATTAATTTCAGAGGTAAATGCTGTGAACAAAGAACAGCTAACAGGCACGATTGCAAGGATATCGTGTACTGTTACGGGTTTGACAGAGGAGCTTGGTGTCACAAAATGGACCACTTCTGAGGATGTTGATGTGACGAGTCTAGAAGGCTACACCGTTGTTCCGGGATGGTTGGAAGTAGATACTCAAACTACCACTCTGACTATTCCTGCTGATAACAACAACAATGATGCAACTTACTGGTGTGTTATCACTTCCACTGAACATGGTTTAACAGATCAGAAAACTGAAGTCAGTTCCAAAGTCTTTAGTAAGTATTGTAACTTAAAGTTGTATGTAATGTATATCCTGAAGGTAACGTTTTATTAATAATTAAACTTGTAAAAGTGTACTCCTTCAGTGGTGTAAATGTGTGGCTGTACGAATAATTATATACGTATAATAAAGATAATATCCTCTAACATGAACCAAACAATTCAGCTGTCACCTCAACACCCAAGTCTATGACGACCGCTGTATATCAGACGTTGACTTGCAATATCGGAGGTCTAGACAATAGTGGATCCCCTGCTACTGTAACTTGGAAGGATAGTGCTGGACAAAAAGTTATAAGACCGGATACCACCAACTATGGTTGGAACCAAGGGACGGTAGATAGCAGCGGAAATCAGGCAGCAGAACTGACTATCAAAACTGCAAAGCTGCATGGTTTTAGTAGTCCATCATCAGTCACCTACAAGTGCTCAGTCAAATCTTCCCAATACACAGATTCTCCTGCATCTGACTACGTAGAAGTTGTAGCTAACATTCTAAAATTGGGTGAGTTTAGAATATGTCGTACTGTTAATCAAGGAAGTTCAAAGATTGTCGGACACTCAGTGGTAAGCTATTTTAACTAAATATTAATTTCAGAGGTAAATGCTGTGAACAAAGAACAGCTAACAGGCACGATTGCAAGGATATCGTGTACTGTTACGGGTTTGATAGAGGAGCTTGGTGTCACAAAATGGACCACTTCTGAGGATGTTGATGTGACGAGTCTAGAAGGCTACACCGTTGTTCCGGGATTGTTGGAAGTAGATACTCAAACTACCACTCTGACTATTCCTGCTGATAAGAACAACAATGATGCAACTTACTGGTGTGTTATCACTTCCACTGAACATGGTTTAACAGATCAGAAAACTGAAGTCAGTTCCAAAGTCTTTAGTAAGTATTGTAACTTAAAGTTGTATGAAATGTATATCCTGAAGGTAACGTTTTATTAATATTTTAACTTGTAAAAGTTTAGTCCTTGAGTGGTGTATGGCTGTACAAATAATTATATACGTATAATAAAGATAATATCCTCTAACATGAACCAAACAATTCAGCTGTCACCTCAACACCCAAGTCTATAACGACCGCTGTAGATCAGACGTTGACTTGCAATATCGGAGGTCTAGACAATAGTGGATCCCCTGCTACTGTAACTTGGAAGGATAGTGCTGGACAAGAAGTTGTAAGACCGGATACCACCAACTATGGGTGGAACCAAGGGACGGTAGATAGCAGCGGAAATCAGGCAGCAGAACTGACTATCAAAACTGCAAAGCTGCATGGTTTTAGTAGTCCATCATCAGTCACCTACAAGTGCTCAGTCAAATCTTCCCAATACACAGATTCTCCTGCATCTGAATACGTAGATGTTGTAGCTAACATTCTAAAATTGGGTGAGTTTAGAATATGTCATACTGTTAATCAAGGAAGTTCAAAGATTGTCGGACACTCAGTGGTAAGTTATTCTAACTAAATATTAATTTCAGAGGTAAATGCTGTGAACAAAGAACAGCTAACAGGCACGATTGCAAGGATATCGTGTACTGTTACGGGTTTGACAGAGGAGCTTGGTGTCACAAAATGGACCACTTCTGAGGATATTGATGTGACGAGTCTAGAAGGCTACACCGTTGTTCCGGCATCGTTGGAAGTAGATACTCAAACTACCACTCTGACTATTCCTGCTGATAAGAACAATAATGATGCAACTTACTGGTGTGTTATCACTTCCACTGAACATGGTTTAACAGATCAGAAAACTGAAGTCAGTTCCAAAGTCTTTAGTAAGTATTGTAACTTAAAGTTGTATGTAATGTATATCCTGAAGGTGACGTTTTATTATTATTTAAACTTGTAAAAGTGTAGTGCTTGAGTGGTGTAAATGTGTGGCTGTACGAATAATTATGTACGTGTAATAAAGATAATATCCTCTAACATGAACCAAACAATTCAGCTGTCACCTCAACACCCAAGTCTATAACGACCGCTGTAGATCAGACGTTGACTTGCAATATCGGAGAACTAGACGTAGGTGGAACCCCTGTTAATGTGGTCTGGAAGGATCCTGGTGGAACGCCAGTTTCAATCTCGGACACCACCAACTACGTTGTCAGCCAAGGAACTGTTGATGCTGATGGTATCCAGTTGGCAGAACTCAACATCAAGACTGCCAAACTGGCTGATTTTGCTGCTGAATCATCCTTCACGTACAAGTGCTTGGTAACCTCGTCTCAGTTCACAGAATCGCCTGCATCTACCGACGTAAATGTTGTAGCCAAAGTTCTGGAACTAGGTAATATTCAAATGATTGTATTTACATGGTATATGTTATATATTATAACGTGTTATGGGTTATTAAGATTGTTAAATGTGAATAGCCCCCCTTCTCCACAGTATAAGTTCATTGATTTGCAGGTGTCGATACGGTCAACACGATACAACTATTCGGTACAAAGGCGACGATCTCTTGTACTGTAACTGGTCTGACGAAGGAGCTAGACTCGATTCAATGGACTACTTCTAGCAGTGTTCCAGTAGCAACTAACCAAGGTGGCTATACCGTTACTGATGGCGGGTTTATCACCGCAAACGGTTCTCAAACTATCACTTTAACTATTCCTGGGACTCTCAATATCTTAAACGAGACTTATGTGTGCCTCTTTACATCTAACGAACATAGAGTTACAAACCATACTGCTGCTGTCAAATCTCAAATCTACAGTGAGTATGAGGACACTAATTACACTAATTACACTAATTACACTAATTACACTAATTACAGTGAGTATGAGGACACTAATTATTATATGTGTAGCCTTCCTGCGTACTTATAAGGGTCACAAAATTAGGGATGGGAAGTTTTTATATCTTAGATAAATGGATAGTTTTTTCCATGCGAGTTTGAAAAATCATAATTTGTTAATTGTTTCAACTTCAAGCTCATCCAAATGTCCATAGATTTGTCTTTACGGCCAAATGGAGGATGTCGTGTCTTTACCGGAACGGATATTACTTTGACCTGTCGATATTTTTCTACTGTCTTTAGCGAAGGAGTCTTCTCTTGGACTATTGACGGGAAGAAATGTGAAACTCGTGCCTGCAGGTATGAAATAAAACAATAATGATACATTTAAAAAGGAAACATTGGAAAATGAAAACAGTCTACACTTTTGTTATTTTGTTAGTTTCAATGTGAAATAGACAGCATTTTTAAACGAATAATTTTTCAGGAACCCAGTGAACACAGGCTTAACGTCGACGTTGACACTGAACATTGATAATTCTACTGATGGCGTCTGGGGTTGTTCATTCTCCAAAAAAAGCGGTGGTTGGTTCATTTTATTGGATATTTAAAATTTAAAGCATGGAAGGTGATAAGCGGAATGTTTTATATTTGATAACTTTTATCACATTTTATTAAGAAATCTGGATGTATAAGTAAGTGGGAATTTAATTTGTTGATTATCATCAGACGGAACAATGAAGAGCTATGACAAGTTGACTGTTGAGGGGGTCAGTGCAAGTGGCACACAGACTCCTCACTCTGTTTGGGGGACCGCTGGGACTACGTCTGCAGTTACTTGTACAGTCTTAAACGGTCTTACATACTCTAACCTCTCCTACATACAGTACGTTTTCTTTATGTCAGCCTAAATATATTGTAATTATTGACTACACACCATAGTGTTGAACTTTAAACACGGTAAATACACAAAGTCATCTTTGTGGAACTTACTAACCTCATTTTGTCAAGGTGGCAGCTAGACGGTAAGACTATCAGTGAGGAAGGAGTGACACTCAACAAGGACAACGAGATAGTGAAGTTCACTCTGGCGGAGAAAGTCAGGACAGCAACGAATGTTACGTCGATAATCTCCTTCACTCATTCCCAGGCTGCCGTAGGGAGCCTTCAGTGCAAAGCTATGTACAGTACAGGTTTGCTTATATTTTTGGTTTAATCTTACAGCTTTTAGTAACTGTGTGTTTTTACTCTCTTGAGTGGGGCGATCAAGATTTATGTACGAAACATGGAAAATTGGGTGTTTAAGGAATAATTTTATTCTAAGAAACTCATTAATTCGGATTTATATCTCCAGGACATGCAATAAAGACACCTAGTAGCAACCTGAATTTGATAACACTAACCTTGAACGTTGAGTGGATTATGATAACACCTTCTGACGGGGCTGTGGTTACTTTCTCTACTTGGTCAGAGTACAAACCTTCCACTACCAACGTGGAGTTTGCAACTGTACGTATCCCCTGTCATAGATTCATCTTTCCGGCAATTCGGTAATGTAGCTACGCACGGTTAAGGCACGGTTAAAGCACAGTTAAGGCACAGTTAAGGCACAGTTAAGACACGGTTAAGGCACAAGGGTTACATAAGGCACGGTTGAGGCACGGTCACTTAAGGCATGGTTAACGCTTAACCGTGCCTTAACCGTGCCTTAACTGTGCCTTGACTGTGCTTTAACCGTGCATTAACTGTGCTTTAACCGTGCATTAACCGTGCATTAACCGTGCATTAACCGTGCCTTAACCGTGCGTAGCTACATTACCGAATTGCCGACGGATAAGATCTTTCCTTATCCTCTGTAGATAAGGATTGTCAAATTCGATAAAGTGACTAACTTAAATATTTAAGATAGATGATGATGAAAACTATGTTTGAAGATTCAAATTTTTGCTTACTAAGGTTCGTACTATTATGAATGTTGGTACATAGTATTGATTGATTGTTATATTATTAATATTATTATTAACCAGTGATTTTTTCAGGGTATTAGCGAGATTCAGACAAAAGTGGAAAATACGACTGTCAATAGTGATGGGATACTGTTCAAAGAAGTTGTTACATTTTTTAGGTAACTTACGAATAGATTCTAATTTCCGTGCAACATAGATTGTATAAAAAGATTAATTTTTTAAAAGATCTCCATTTCGCACATTTATCGACTTAATCGACCTAATCGCAGGATATCGTCTGTAAAATATCAAGTTCTAAATATTAAAAATAGCTACCTTATTGGACCTTATTTGAACGGACATTAATTGAACGCTGGAGGTCCTAGCGTTCATCTTAATGTCTGTTCAAATAAAGTCCGTCCGTTCAAGGTCCGTCCAAGTTAAAGTCCGTTGAGATTTTTTTCCAAAATTATTCCAATGCGAACTCATTTTTAGGATATGACAACTTTTTAATTTCAGTCAATTGTAATTTCTATCATCGGATTCGGACTAAACTATATCATTGGATCAATGAAAAACGAGTTATTATATAATACGTGTTTTACGTTTTTTAGAATTGGAGCGTTTTTACGTTTTTTTAACATGTTTTTACGTATTCATTTAAAAAACGTTGTGATTTATACGGAAATTTACAATGTTTTTGACGGTCACCGACTACCAGCGAACTGCGAAGTACGAAAACTGGTGCCGGGGCCACAATCACATAAGCAGATTGCAGTCTTCAGTTACACTGTACACTTACATTCCTATTAAAACTGCAAAGTATCGAAACGATCCATCACATATCCTCATTACTCAATTTATTATTGTAGTTAAGCGAACATTCCAGACTCAGCTATATTATACCTACCGTCAGATTATTATATGTATGTGTAGCAGCTAAACAAACGTGCGAGACTGAGACTATACAATATAGAAATTTCTATAACTTAAATGATAAATTAGCGCATATTAAGATGTTTCATATTTGATATTTCCAGAAAGTATCAAATATTTCCAGAAAGAGCAACATCTAATGTTGCTCTCTTAGTAGGTGGCATTGTCATAATCTCATTTCTTGCTTACTGATAGAAAGATGAAACGGCAGCTGATTTCCACCCCTATTAGTTATTCGTGTTACATGTACAGCAACTTAGAAAGCAAGAGTATTCAACAGTCAACACAACTGGCAAGTTTGATTGGTCATACCGCTACATTTTGAATTTTCACGTGAGCCGGCTTGATTAGATTATGCGAACGTTTTTTCTCGTTTTTTGAACGTTTTTTGAAAAAAATAGAAAAAAGCACGTTTTGAACGTTTTTTGAGTTTACCAATTACGTTTTTCACAACCCTGATTATACTATTTAAATATTCTAAGCTGAAGACGATTTACACATGTATTTTGAAAGCTCCTGCTAAAACAAACTTTTCGTATCACTTATATGTTTTAAATAATCCCCCCCCCCCCCCCCCCCCCCCCCCCCCCCCCAGCATACGCTGGTCACTAATGAGTAATGAACACCTGGCCCTGCTCTCAGATCAGGTTCAGCGACTGCAACAGTAAACGGCAAGGAGGACCTCTCAAAAAAGGAGTATTTGTACAAATACACTATCAATTCGAGGTTGCCTTCAGAAATTTCGATTACCGGAAAAATCTTTCTAATAGGTACTCAGTTGATAACTTACTTTTCTGTATTACTATGGTAACTAGTAGTGTTACTATGGTGACATGAGTTTTAATTGCAAATGGGAAATTAATTATCAAACGGTTGTTGGGAGGGGGAGAATAGAACTTGCATGTTGATATGTTTTAACTTTGAGTTTAATAAATTAAACCTATCTATATCTTGGTATTAGCTTATCTTATCTCAACAGGACAGACATTTGTTGACACCGCAACAAAGTGGGCAATCTCCGGAGCAAGGCTCAAGCTCACTGCTTATTTCACAGCCTCTAGCACATCAAGTGTAACCGTTACCTGGCTGCAGCTAAAGGGTAAGAATATAATTAGAATCTTATTTCACGTTAAAGTTTTAGCTCTGTTAAATAATATGTTCTTTGCTTTATCACATCAATAATATGAACCGATTTACCGCAAACCCCGTTTTACCGCGGTTGTTTTCTTCCCCCAAACTCTGCGTTAAGTCAGGGTTTTACTGCACTTTGAAGGATTTTACTGCACTTTGAAGGATTTTACTGCACTTTGCAGGGTTTAACTGCACTTTGCAGGGTTTTACTGCACTTTGCAGGGTTTTACTGCACTTTACTTTATCACATCGACTTCCCAAAAGTTATCTATCATCATCAAAAATTCTACACTTGCAGGCGTGAACAGCAACTGGAAAGATCTCGGAACAGGTGCCGGCTACCATAACGTCCTCTCAAAGTTAGACGATCGCAGTGTCATGTCTGCAACCCTGGTCATTGATAAGATAAAGACATCCGATATTACAGGTGAATTATCAAGCACTCAGTCAAGTAACTAAACCTGTTATTTTTTATTTGTTTTTTACTTTTCTAAGAATGTTTTGGATCGTTAAAAAATATTCAACACGTCCTTCTCAATAATTTAATATTACAATTCACATTGTGAAACACCTGTATTTCAGCATACAAGGCTCGGATTGAAATGTTTGGTTTCGAAGTGACGACGGGTTTGATCACTTTGAAAGCTGTCTCAGCCAATGTGCCAGCGGTCGATTCTGACTTTGAGGGCAAATCTGCATTCTTTCATGTAGCGTTGATATTTGGACCCGAACCATTAAGTGTAATGTTAGTTCATGAACGTAAGTTAAGATGATTTCAGTATCTAGAAAAAAGAGAAAATATTTTCAATTCAACTACTTGTGAGAACGTTTTATCAAAGAAATGGTCTCACTCGAGTACATCTCTACATGTACAACTTCAATGTAATCAACACATATTTTTAATTCAATATTTTAGTTTTGGTAGTGGAAATATTTGATGCCAAGATTCGGTGGTTCAGGTCGAAGGAGCAATCCCTTAGCATTTCAAAGAATGAAATGTCCACATTTTATTCTAATAGTTTCACTCTTCAGAGAGTGGTAAAGAAGTGTCGGTGAATTTACCGAGTATGTCCTCACGTCCTCTTGAAGTGAACCATGAGATGAAGAAAGCATTTTCCTGTGATGATGGGTCCTACTACTTCAAGTAATATCAAAATTAAAATTTCATAAAATATGTCACGCAAACTTAAAGCTACTAAGGTTCCAATGGAAGGATGTAATTAATTTGTTAGAAATTAGTTTTTATGTTTGATTGATCAACTATATAATGAGCACGATTCTTCATGAAATTGAATAACTTTTCTTTCAGATTTACGTTCGAGAATGGCCAACAATACACAACAAGCAAAGTGAAACTTGCGATGAAGAGGAGGTGTAGACCCCTCACTAAACCACCAAACACAGTACTTACAAAGGTGAATCATTCTAGAGAGGAAATAACAGAGATAGTTTTTTTTTCAAATCTGTTTATCCAGCATGAGTTTGTTAATCTCCTTGCTGTCGTCAAGCCTTGTGTCCTTCCGAAGGATGTCAATATATGTGAGGTGTGGTCTTCCCCTTCGACGATGTCCTTGAAGGGGTTCCCAGAAGAGAAGTTTATGACTCAGAAGTTCTTCATGTCTGGCTAGATGACCTGATTATTCTATATAATGCAAAAATGTCTTATCTTTATGTTTTTCCAGGTTTATTTGTATGGACCGATGTAATAATCTGGTAGCGGAATACAAGAGAAATTAAGATCATGGAAATTCAATTAATTACTTTCTGTCTTCTGTTTGAAATATTTGTTCAATTCTAGGAGAAAGTGGCCGGCTCAAGCGACTACACGTTCAAAGTTACCTGTGCTGATGATGATCCGACCTATGTGATAATGAACGAGGATAGAACTGAGGCCAGGTGCGATACCACAACGGGAAGATGGGATCACACTGCTCTTACTCCCTGTTGCAGAACCATCAGCCCAACGGATGACTAGATCGACACAAATTGGGAAAATATTATTCATTTATATTTCAATAATGAGCGATTGTTAAGAATAAGACTAAAATATGAATAATCTATCAATGTTCCTAAATCATGACTGTTGCTTTAACAATGTTGAATGTTTTGATTTCATTTGATGATAGCTGCCTTTTATTTACTATTATTTCATTTTTTTTGTTTTGTGTTAACTTTATTCTGACCACAGTTTTTTTTTCCCGTTCTTTTTTCTGTTACCTGAACAGTCTGAAGTTTTGTTTTTTGTAGTTTTCCCTGTGAAGATTTGACATTTATAGATGTAAAAGTATTATAATTTGCAAATAAATTCTTGAATAAACAATATATTGTTTAAATTTTCGTTTCCTATAGACTGTAAGGCAAAATTCAAATTCGGCACTTGAAACCTCTTCAAACCTCCCCTGATTTATTTTACTATTGATATTGTTTGATTGTGCCGTAAAAATAAGTATTTGTTTTATTAAATATTTGTTTTATTAAATTGGTATGTCGGTTGAAGCAAAACTAAAATACAATATGATTTGATTTTTACGTTCAATCAATGTAAAAAAAAGCATTCTTAGAATTTTTTTATAAGAATGATTCTTATAAAAAAGATGATAATAAATGACAATAATCTAAAATTGCACGTTTATCATTCATTCTACGTTCTCAGTTTCAATATTCATAGAGTTATTCTAACTAAATATTAATTTCAGAGGTGAACGCTGTGAACAAAGAACAGCTAACAGGCACGATTGCAAGGATATCGTGTACTGTTACGGGTTTGACAGAGGCGCTAGATAATAGCCAACAAAAACGTGATGGGTCGTTTGCGACCCGGACGATTGGGTCGTATGCGACCATAGCTGCATCTTTTAAAGTAAACGAGATACAGATTAGCTTTTGTGGATATCTCATTTTAGTGAAGTGACCTAGTGTGTTAAATGACATCAAAATCAACAAACTTTAAAACTCGTCGTCCCTAATGGGTTAAGCCTAAGGTGTATAGGCAACATCAAATTATCACTCTGTAGCGGCCTCGGTTAGTTCTTAGGCAAATAGATCTAGCCACTTAAGGTACTGGATTCGTCGTAGAAGATTATTTAAAAAGATTTTCTAGAATTCAATCTTCCAATTCAATTGCAGAGCCGTTTGGGCTGGGGTGTTCTCCATACTCCTGAGAATGTGTCCAACCGATGATAACAGCACCGTAATATTAATAAGTACTCCCATCTATAAAAACTGTGTCGCCAATTTTGCAATCGGAAGGGGTGTTGTCAGGGACTATGCCATCCTCAGGGTACACTGTCACGGGCCAGTAAGCACAATAAAAACCACTTACACAGCTTCCTCCCTGGATCGGTATGTTCTTTTGTTCAAGAAATTAATTAATTAATTTTCCAGAAAATTCCGATAATAGAGCCCAGCAGTCATGGCATTAAGGTGGTCTACTTTGGCAAGCGGGGGTATACCCGTATAGCTACGGAAATACTCACCACGAGCCGACGGACTACCCCGACTGCACCATCATGATTCATGACGTCCGTTATGGACAGATTGAAATCGAAGATACCACATTTCAATACTGATGCCTGCTCCTGCCTCCTAACACACTACCCTGACGGCCGTGCGTCCATCCCTGCTCGCTCTGATAATGCTAACATCAAGAGTGACAGCCAGATAATAAGTGTAGTAAAAAAGTCATCTCATGTAATTGCACCTGTATTGTCGAATTACTTCAATATCCTTATGACCCAAGGTATATTTCCTGATGTCCTGAAAACTGGTAAAATAACACCTGTATATAAGAAAGGTAACCCAGAAGAAATCGAGAACTACCGTCCTATCTCCACACTGTCCGTCTTCGGTAAGATCTTTGAAAAGCTCATATATTCTAGAATATACGGATTTGTTAGCTCCCAGGGAGTTATATCGAAGACACAGTTTGGATTTAGGAAATCTCACTCTACATCTCATGCAGTTAATTACTCTGTAGATTTAATTACGAAATCTCTTAAACTTAAGAATCATGTTTTAGGAATATTCATTGACCTAAGCAAAGCTTTTGACACCATCGATCATTCAACACTTCTTATAAAATTAGAGGGATGTGGAGTGAGAGGAGTTGCAAATAACCTCATAAAAAGCTACTTGACAAACAGGCAACAATACACCGAAGTTGTAGGAGAAAAATCAGATACCCTATCTATTCAATTTGGTGTCCCGCAGGGTTCAATTCTTGGACCTCTCCTATTTCTTCTTTATATGAACGACATCACAAACAGTTCTAAACTCGGGTCATTTGTTACCTTTGCTGATGATACCAATATATTTGTTGTCGGCAAAACAAAACGTGAGGCATATGAACGAGGAAATGAGCTTCTGTCATCATTACAGTCTTATATGAGAGCGAATAAGTTACATATAAACATGTCCAAGTGCTGCTACATACACTTCAAACCCACCATGGCAGGTTCTAAATCAGAGATTTTATCACACCCTGAAGGTGTACTAACTATAGACAACTTTCCAATCAAAAAGGTTTCATCCGCAAAATTTCTGGGTGTTATAATTGACGAGAACCTATCATGGGAAGATCACATCAAAGCTCTTAAGCGAACTCTAAATCATTCCACATCCACTTTATGTAGACTCCGCTGCTCCCTTCCAGAATTTCTACACCAACAATTATATTATACCCTGTTCGAATCACATCTTTCTTACTGTATATCTGTATGGGGTGGGGCAGCGAAGCAACGTATAAGCTCATTATTTACTGCTCAGAAGTACTGTCTCAGAGTACTATTTGGTGATAGGCTGGCGTACCTTGATAAGTTTAAGACTTGTGCACGTACTAGGCCTATAGGACACCAGAAACTAGACCAAAAATTCTTCATAAAAGAGCACACCAAACCGATATTCAAGCATAATAATATTCTAGCTGTACAAAATCTATATACATACCACAGTTACCTGGAGCTCTACAAGATAATGAAATTCCGTGCTCCAATATCCTTACATGAGGGTTACACATGTTCATCAAGGAAACCCTGCCTTCTAATCTGTCAGGCAGACCCACCTGACAATCACAACACTAGATCAACCAAAATTTTTAACATTTTAACCCCAAAGTTCAGAATGACTGATTTTACTACTAGTGTAATGTGCTTGCGAGGAAAGCTAAAACGTGCGCTACTAGCTAATCAACATAACCACGCCCTGCTTGATTGGACCGTAAAAGACTTTGACTGCACAAATATTATTTTCCAAACATTATGACTGGCTGGTCACACACATCTAAATTAAATTACCCTAGGCTACTGTTTTCCAAGTCTTGTCCTGTGAGTAAAGTATGTGTGAGAAAGTTTTAATAAAATGAATGTATATTTTTGAATTTTTAAATTTTAATTTGAGAATGAAGTATAAAGAAATTTTTAATTAGCATTGTATAGTTTAAAATATTTATAGCTTATTATAACCATTGATAAATTTAAGCCATAATCTTTCGCCTGCTCTCCAATATCCACCTTGAAGGTGCATTTTTAATCATTGAACTACACAATATAAAATCAAACATGTTTTAGTGTAGACTTTTTGTCACAACAAGACTGCAACCTAGATAGTAAAAACTTTAAACAGAACCCCTAATGTCTGCTAACAATTTTTCTTATAGTCCTAATTTGAGCCTTGTCTCTAAAAACTTAACTGAACTAGCGTTTTGGTGTGTGCAAAAGCTCCCAGGCACGCGCATTCCTTGCCCCGTTAGTAACCTGTCCTTCCAAAACCAAACAAGCAGTCAAGGACAAAAAGTCATACACCAAATGGGCATTATATTTTATGAATTGTTTTACATCTTTTATTCTGTAAAATGTGCTAAAATTAAATTTCTTGTTTCATTGAATTTCTTGTTTCATTGAGATAGACACTATATAAAATGCTCTGACTCTGATGCATAAGATAACTTACATGCCTGGCCTTCTGCCGTCGTCGATAAAAGTCTTATTCCCTTCTGATATACCAAAGTATGGCACGTCTTATGACGACAATATCAACTGGCTAACAACGTACTCTCATCCAGATCTACGCGCTTATTTTTTCTATAAAGGTCCTATATTACTATATTAGCTATTAACGAGCACAACATTATATTAGTCGCATATAACTTGCCCATCTATAAGTATTTTCTCAATAAGCATTTATAAGGAACAGCAAAGCGTGTAATGATAGAACTACAAAGCTCACAATGAAGAATGGCCACCTTTTCTGTTCCATAATTTACTCGGGCTACGTAAATCAACAAGATCGGGCACACAACAAATCAACTACCGAGAATTACCTGCGGAATAAGTAAAACTAGGCGATTATATTAGCACACTAGTCACTATCAACCATATGCCACATTTTTCACTGCCCATTCACTGTCATGATAGCAGGTGCAGGTGCTGATAAGACATGAGCTCATTTACTTTTCTTTATTTTAACAACGGTTCAAACAGAGCACTATAAAGAGCACTATACTATCGACTCTGCCCTGCTCACTAATTGTTAATTACCAACACAAGTAGCTTATATAATAAAACAGTGCGTGTGATCATCTGTCGTATCACATATCAAATCAAATTATTTTTCACTATGTTTTTGATAAATAAATCATGATATGCAAGTTTTAATTTTAAATTTTTTGGTTTTTTTATAAAAAATAAACGATAAAGGTTACGTCATAATTTTCAGCTCTCATTTTCACTTATATAATATATTAAATAAAATTATATTTTTTTTTTTTTTATGTTGGGGCACCCACTTTACCTCCCTATTGGGAGGCTACGTCCGTCATTAGTGACTAACGTCTATTGGGGTTCCTCTGGTTGTAGGTGTCAGTAGGTTTGGGTCACTTGGCATGGGCTAGTGATCCCGCCCCTCCAGAGGATAAAGCCTGGTGAGCGACGTTTCCCGTAAGGGAAACTGTCATAATGCTCGTTCACGGGAGAACACCACCCATACCTAGATGTTCTCCCGGGTACTCGATAGAACAGGCTGCCCCCTGTCATTCTAGTGGGCTGACAGGAACCTACCAGGCATGCCTGAGCCTCAAATGGAATATACCCATCTCCTTTGTTATTTTTGTATTAATTCTTTGTCTTTGCGCGGCTCAATTTCCGCGCTTTACTAAAGTGCTGACTCACGAATTTGCATCGGATATTTGCATTTTGAGTAGACCCTTTTGCTGTCGCAATTTGGCAATTTCTTTGTTCACGTAATTATTGCTAATTTTACGTTTGCTGGAAATAATCTAAGTGCTATATCTCCAATAGCTGGCAGTTTGTCTGATTGTTAGA